GTATGGGGACCGACCCAGTCTAGTGTACATTCACATCTATATATGTATGTATGTATGCACTCATTTCACAACAGTGCGAAATTCAATTATGATAACGCTGAGGTACGTATGATTAACGACCTTGAGATAGGCGGGGATTCATATGATGTTTGTTGTATGGCTAGGCGGGCTTTTATAAAAAAAAATATTAAACATAAAATAAATATATAAATTGTCAGAAGTTTACCTAGTGACATAATTGTTGCGAAATTTTGTGCAACATAAGGGCCTTCTGACGACTCTTTTACTTTTACTTCCGCCTAGACTTCTGACAATTGTTTCCCTACATTCTTATGTAATCTTCGATTACATTGCAAATTTTCAGAACTTTACCTCATCACTAATTTTTCGAAAAAAAAATACCTACATGTTTAACCCCCCATCAGTGAGAGTTCGTTCGGCCTGCCTCTCGCTATATCGGTAACAACCGAACCTGTAAATTTTAATGTTTCTACTTTACTGATTGACCCCTTTCCCCTACGTAGCCCGCTATCAGTCTATTACGTTATCTAAGTTTAAACTGGCATTGGAAAACTGGCCTTGAATATGGTGAGGTGGTAGGTATCCGGGTAAATAATAGAAAGAAGAACAACTTTTGTTTTGTTTGAAAGTGGCCCACTGTCGTACAAAGTTTCTCGACCCCTGAATTACACCACAGACGTTCGCACTGCCAACATGTTCGCTGCAATATGAACCACAAATGCAGCACGTGCTTGCAACATCAGCACGCAACACAGATGCTACAACTTACAGCAAGTTGTGTTTACGTGCGGGAAAACTGTAAAGCAAAATGAAAATGAAAGCACTAAGCATAGGAAAAGGAGGAAATGCACGATTTTCCCACGCAACGTCATCATTGTGTATGAAGATATTGCGAACGAAAAATCAGTGGATGGGTGAATGTGTGTATTTGTAGCAAAATGCTGTTGGTGGTGCTGTCGCGGGACAGCATTGGACTTTTGATTTCCCAACCAAGCGAATTGAGATTTTCTAGCGAATTTTCTTTTCAGTTGCGACTGTGACATCGAAGCGTGTGGTAGAGTGGAAATACGTTGGATAATCGTGCGGTGTGAGAATGCGTGCTGTCTGAATATTTGGGATTGCGAAAGTTTTGTGAATTGAGTTTTTAATGTAGTGTCCGCGTAAATGATGTGTGGAACTTATNAAAATTGAAAACGTTGGCCAAAATCTGAAACTGAACGAAAACGTTATTTCATAACAGTTATTAGATGAAAAATATTTTTTATTTCGCCGATAAGAGTTATGACCCAAGGTATATTTTTTGCGTTGTTTGATCACAGTTATTGCCCAACGTTTCTTTTTTACGTTGTTTGATAACAGTTATTGCCCGACGTTTCTTTTTTTACGTTGCTTGATAACAGTTATTATTCCACGTTTATTTTTTACGTTGCTTGATAACAGTTATTATTCCTCGTTTATTTTTTACGTCGTCTGATAAACGTGTTAAGATAGGAATATTGACAAAAACGGAGATGGGGAAGAATATAAAGATGATGAAAATAAAAGAGTAGGAGTGAAATAACTGTTATCAGACAACGTAAAAATAAGTGTTGGGAAATAACTCTTATTGGCGACGGAAAACACGTTTCTCCTGCATAACAGTTATCAGGCAACATGAAAAGTAAACGTTGGGTTATAACTCTTATCGACGAAATAAAAAATATTTCTCAACTTATAACTGTTAGGCAAATTTTCAGAACTTTTCTTTCTCAAATTAGAAGAAAACAGTGGTTCCACTTAGAGGCGCTACACGCATAATATTTTACATAGATGTGGGTAATATTCGGAACATACGAGTATTTTGGCTAAATTAGAAGAGCAAAAAATTAATTAGCTAAGTGGCGCTGACGCACAGTGCTCCATCTCCATACAAATGATGGGCAAAAATGAAGCAGTGGCTCGAATCGAATGAAATTTGATACTTCAAAATTTAACAACTTACTGTAAACTTACCAGTTTAAAAAAAAAAAAAGTGTTTTTTTAAAGGAGTTTTGATTACTATAAATGTTACCAATACGACCTAACGTATGACCCTGTCAACCAAATATATCGAAAACTTTTGATACAATGTAACTATGCACATTAGGGCGGAGTAAGTTGATTTCGAAAAAAATTTTATCGCATATTCGAATTCTACGTTCGATTCTAAGCAAAAATGGTAAATAAACTATATACCAAAAATGAAAATTTTGAAAATTTGGAGGGTCAAACGTCATTCTTGGGACATAGTTTGCTCGCAATTTTTGCTTAGAATTCATCGTAGCCCTAATGCACATACATACACACACATGCTGCACTTAAACAAATGCGTTAAAAATATATCGGTTTTAAAATTATAGTGAAAGTGTTACAATTATGTGTCGCAGCAAGCAGTCAATTCCAGGCGAAAAGGACAACGCAACAAATTACGGCGACTCCTTTAAGTGTATAGCAAAGTGTTTGCAACATACAATACATGCGAAGCAATATCGATCAAAAGAAATCAAATTAAAATAATTCCCAAATGGCGCAACAATACTTGAAGGCAATAGTGTGTGTAGTGTTTTCCATAATAACTATGTGTAAAATGCGCTTTTAAATTAAAATATTGATCGGCCAACAAAAAAATAAAAAATAAAAAATAATGGCTGGTTTTGATTCAGCCGATGAGGCCAATACCGAACTATTGGAAAAACTAAAACATTTAGATGTCCGCGCCCAACCGGAGGAGAAGAGTCGTGGCTGTTTTAAAGGCTGTTGGAAGTCCAGTAAATGGAAATCGGCACTAAATCACATTGGCCTATTGGTATCGTTGTCAATCTATTGCGGAGTGGGTGGATTGGTGAGTTGAAGAGCCACTAAAAAATATTCGAACTAAATTTAAAGGATTGTAAAGCGAAAATGTGAAAAAAGAAAGAAATTGAAGACGTCCAAATTAAATTGGAAAAGTGAATGTAAAAATATTTTACACATATGTAATAATTTTTTTTTTATTTGTATGAAAATTTTTTTAAATTTTATTTTAACACGCATGAACTTATAAAATATTCACACACCTCGCACCTTAACGAATACTGAAAATAGTAGCTGCCATGGAAAAAAAACGCCTACCCACTTAGTAGTAGTTACCTTCACTTGTTGAACGCCAAGTGATCGAGACGGATTGCCTGAATTTTTCACCACATTTCATTTATAGCATTTTTATTAGCTTCGGCAATAATCATTTTCACTTAGCCCACAATTGTGTATTTTCTTTTTTTTTTGTGTATTTATTTTCTCTTTGGCTTCGCACAACAAACACATAAAACATTTATATTTGCAGCATTTAAATTTTTACTAGCCACTTTAAAATAAATACAACAACAGCAAGGAAAACAATGAAAATGAGCATGAAAAATTGCTTCGAGTTTTTGTTAAATTTTTGTGTTGATTTAAAATGTTCTAGGTTGTTTATTTAAATAAAACAAGTGGTAATAAATAATAGTATGTAATTGAAAATTTGTTTTATTTTTTGATTATTGTTTTAGTAAAAATGTAAACTAATTTGTTAGACTGATCCATTTGCGTACATTATTTAAGAACAACATTTTCGCGAAAGCAGTTTGCGAAAGTCTGCAGTACGGGCATGTCTTTAAAACTCTTTCAACGAAAATGTTTACTCGGTGAAAAATTTTGTGAATGAGTGATAAATTCGGGTCAATTTTTAACGAAAATAGGAACTTTCTATAGAAATCGGCACGAGTGATTAATTTTGGCTGTCAAAAAAATATTGATTGTAAACACATTTCAAAAGTGATGCTTTAAAAATGGAAGAGCAATATAAGTTCATACATATATGTACATACATACATACATACAGGCAGAATAGCAGTCATTAATATGCAACCCAGAAAGCAACACCTTTCATTTGATTTAAAGTATGATGCTGATCAGCCTAAAAAATTCACAGAAGGGGAAATTGACAGCAAATTTCTCATCTTGCTTACTACTCGCAAATTCATAAAATTCAGCATTAAGCTACAAAGACAAGTGATCTTTATTAGCAGGCGGGGCATGAGAAGCATTCAGCGATAGAAGTTTTAATATAAGCACTAACGAAAATCAGAACAAAAATTCGATTAAACTTTTGCCAAAGAAATCATTTTTTAACATATGATTTTTTTGAGTATTTTTTTTTTATTTTATTTCCGGCCTATTAATTTCTTAAGACATATTAAATTACACTCTAAAAAGTGCATGTAAAACTACTACTGAAAAGTGTTTATTTTTCAACCAGAGTCTGTGCAAATATACGCACAAGATGTTCAAGGTTTGATTTTGAACATGAGTTGTTTAAAATATACACATAAATATAAACATGAAATGTTTAAAATTACAAACACTTTGAAAGTATGTTTTTTACGATTAATAAATATTAAGTGCTCATATTTAATCAATTTTAAACACATTGTGTGTAATTTTTCTCTACGTGACAAATTTGTTATGTAAAAGTAAACAGACAGTGTTTAGTTTTGCACACATTAGGAGAGGAAACGGGTGCGTAAATTTAAACAAAAATTTTTTAGAGGAAACTTTAAACATTTTATGTGTTAACTGTGAAATTGTGAACAATAAATGTTTAGAAAAAAAAAACAAATTTGAAATTTGCTCTACGCCACACATATGATAAGCAAAAGTAAACAAGCCGTGTTTAATTTAATTAACAGAGTGTGTAAATTAGCATTCGTTAAGAGAGGAAACTGGTTACCTATCTTAATATGCGCAAATTTAAACAAAAATTTTTTATTGTGTAGTAGAGGCAACAAAAAAATTTCTGTGAAGCTCTTCCTCAATTTAAATTGCAAATATACCCTCTTGTTCTTTATATTGTGATGAGAAAATTTTCTCACTTTTAATATTTAATTACCAAACAGCAACAATGTTCGTCGAGATTTGCATTCATTTCGGGTTTTCGTCAGTTTTTTAATACCATTTTCTGTAAAGTTATCTCAAATAAATTTAAATATTTACTCAAATTTAAAAAAATTCAAAAAACACGCAAATCACTTTGCTGAAATTTCAAAACTTTCGGCTGTGTAAAACTTCGCCAGGTAAATTCAGAGCAGCTTAGCCCTATCGCCAGCACGGTATGTCATGCTTCGCGAGAGGATTTTTGTCAGACAAAAAAAAAATAAAATGAATTTATTTTTGCATGTGTTTATGTGTTTTCGTATACGGCTGCGCTATCTTCTGGTATCAGTAAGTTTGCAGCTANTATCTATACTTGTCCACACATTTTTAGAGATAGTTGTTATAAAAAAGAAAATAAACGTAAGGAACAATTAACCGGTGAAAATTAAAGGTTCATATATCTCTTTTCAATGCCACATGCTTTTAACCAATTATACGGGGAAACCAATTAACCGGGTTCAACAATGTGGGAAAATTTACATGGATTTTTTATGCAATATTTCTTTACCGATAAGGTAACTCAAATAAGCGGGGATATCAATTAACCGGGGATTGCTGTAATACAATTTTAAACTACGTTTTCATAATTTACTTTTGTGCTTATACTCATCATGAATCATTTGAAAGTAAGTCGATTGAAATATTTATTTTTAGCAAAATTATCAAAAACAAACAGTAATTTTGTTTACTTGTCGGAACAGGTTGGCCATATTTTGTTCATGGGGATATAATTTGGGGCCACAGCTATATACATATATTCTTTTATAAATCTGTCCGCCTACGTTTGCTTTCTTTCGCTATTTGAAGTCGACTTGTAAGATCCTTCAAATTATTACTTAGCAGAAAAAACACCAAATAATTTAGACCGGTTTTACAATGTCAAGAGTCCCCAGTTCGATTTTTGAACATGCAAAGTTTCACCGGAACAGTCCTGGCGTGTTCTCTTAATAAACTAAATCAGGAAAAACTCTCAATCTTACAGACTAATGTGATGATTATATGACTTGACGAATCGAATTCAATTTTAATGCATTTTTTAAAGGCGACCCAGCCTAATACTACATACATATACAATAAAAATAAATAAATAAGTATTTACAAATTTACTTAATTTTTTGCGTGCGAGGAATGCGTGCATGGTGTGAAGTGAAGACAATAATTTGTTGAAATATTTTGAACATGCATATATTTTTATAATTATACGTATATATGTACTTACATAAACACATGTATTGCTTGTGAAAATACGGCAATGCAAAGTGGGAACGATGCTGCGAATGCATACAATTTATTTTTGGAAGAATATCGGTGAGTGCTACTTTTCCACAATTTGCAAATATCTTTATATACACATGTACATATGTATGTATTTTGTATATTTGTCTACTTACATATATACACACATGCATGCATATGTAAGTACTATAAATATAATTATAATTTGAATTCTGCTGGTGATACCCAGAAACGATAATTCTTTAACTGGAAAAAAAAACTTTGACCAAATGAAGTACCAAAAATTTAAATAAAACAATAAAGATATCGAGCCCTAACCGCCAAAATAACGTAAGCGACATTTTGTTCAAAATTTTCTTTTTGATGCAGAAATATTCCTAGAGCATCTAGATACATTTCTGCATCAAAAAGAAAATTTTGAAAAAAATGTCGCTTACGTTATTTTGGCGGTTAGGGCTCGATATAGCTTTTAACTCAATGAAAAATCAAAAACTTGGTAGGCCAATACCCCGAAAAAATTATCTTATAGATTTATTTTTATGAAAATTATATGTTAAAATATTACGTACAGAATATGTACTGCAAAATGGAATATTTATTTTTAACAATATTTTGTAAAATCTTTATAAAAACCACCACTGCGGCTTTAACAAAGGCAAATAACGTTTTTATGTATCTTCCTACCTGCTACCTGTTAAAGGGCCGCCTACTCCAACAAGCAAATACGCATGCATACTTTAATACACATAACTAGCAAGGCGTAATTTTTGTAACCGACTACAAAAAATTAGAAAATATTATCAATTCATCGGAATATATATTTTTTAATGTATGTACTGAATAACTTTTGACCGTTTAAACCGTTTTTTGATATATTTTTTTTTGTCGGATAGGTGGTCCAATACTAGCTTGGTTTAGTTCCGACCATTTAACCATGAAGATATTAACGGTACTCCTATGTTTGTATATGAGCATTGAAGTCATTTGTATTTTTTGCTTAAAAACTACTTGTTTAATTTTTTTTTTCAAAATTGTCGTACCTGAACCGTGTTTGAAAGGGTGGTCCTTCTGCTATAATAATGGCATTTTTTTCTTATTTTATATAACTTTCTGTTTCAAGATAAAAGAATTCATCTGGAAGGACCTCGAGAAAATTACTTAAATTCAGATAGCTTTTGCAAATAAATAGTAACGTTTTTAGTCATTTTTTTTTTCAATGCCAACCTACGTAAATCTTGCCTCTATTTAACATATACATGCAACCTAGACACATCGTTCAGATTTTGGGGATGTGTTAGTCAAAAACTGTGAAAAATTAAAAAATCTAGATATTCTTAACCGTTTTCCGACCTGTAAAATGCAGCCGATTTTTAATTAGATATTCGTTTTGAAAACATATTAAACCAAGGTCTGTAAAGCCGCATGGCGCGAGCAAAGTTAACAGACTCTGTGGTTAATATGGAACCAAATCAAAAGCACCATACAAAAACTATTTGGGTTTTAAGTAGGGTTGCCAACATTTTCTGAGATATTTATAGTACTTTTTCAAAAGAATAGAAAAAAATATAGTACAGTAGTAGTATAGTAGTAGGAAATAATTTTAAGTAAATTTGGTAATTCTTTCTTAGTGTTTGTAAAAATATGTTGCCTTTTTTT